ATTTATTGAAATACTTATCTAAAAAATAATTGCTAATATAAATTTATAAATAACTTATTTACTATGTTTTGTTATTTTTTTCTAAAGTGAAACATATTTATTTATTTGTTTTTATTTACTAATTATATGTTGTATGACTTTGTTTTTTGTAAATAAAATAAATTTTTTATAATTTTTATAAAAAATTTTTTTATTTTTAGTTTTTATTAGTTTCAAGGGCAACTTTGTCTGTGTGTCTTTTTATTATTAACAATATAAGATTACATATTATATACATGATATATCAATGAAAGTACAACTAGTCATATATATAATTTTATTTATTATCTAATTAAGGATTCTGCTTATAAGTTACCTACTAGATGCTATACCTGAGACCTGCCTGTGAGTCTCCTATTTAAACTTTCTGATTTTCAATACTTACTGCATATATATACAATGTATATTATTAAGTATTGTGACAGAACAGATTAAGGCTATCTAATTACTATTTATATCTAAGTACCATCTTATTGGATGTTACTAAGTATTCATAGTCTTTTGAATTTACCCTCAATGCAAACTTACTAAGTATAGTACCAAGATTACTCTTTAAATTTATCTAATTTTAGTAGAACCTATATCTACTAAAATTAGTTTAGTATTAGAAGTGTTTGAATTTCAGTAAGTTTATTTCTTTTTTATAGTTTTCTTTTATGTTTACTATATCACCTGCTAGTGCACCTTTTCTTTATTTCTGGTATGTTTATTACTTCTTTCACATTGAGTGCCAACTCTTTATATTGGAAAACTTCTTTCTAGGAACTTCCTTATATACTGTCTTCTAATCATATAGACTTAGTCACAGAGCTTTGTGTATATTTATATGCTTCTGTAGACTACTGAGTTGCCTCTAGCTGGAATTGAACTATTGACCTTGTTTGTAAAGAAAGAGACACCTAGACTATTAGGCTACAAAACCTTATCTCTAAAAAATTTTTTAAGTTTTTCAAGAACTGTAAAAAAAATTATATACAAATTTTAGAATACTATTACTCTAATTAAGTATGTATTTCTTTTAATACTGAATTTTTTTTTTAATAATACAAATACTATTTTTAGTCTAGTTTTTAATTTTTGTTTATATTTTGTTTAGTGCTGCTTTTGATACTGCAGATTATTAAAAAAAATTCTTATTTAATAGTTAATTATTTAAATTATCATATTTCTATTAATTTAAAATCTTTTTTTTGTATTAAAGTTTTTATTTTTAAAGAATAATTTTTATTTAAGTATTATCAAAAATAAGAGTCTTTAAAGGTTTCTTTATATTGAATGTTTTAACTAACTATATATGCATTTTTAGTATCTAATTTAAGAAATTTTTTTTTTTTAGTATTAAGATAACCTCTTTGGTCTTTTTGACTTTTATTAATCACTTATCAGTATTGTGATTTAATGAACTACTACAGGAGAGAGTACAATTGGCTACACATATAACTTTTTTATATTACCTATTTAAGAAGTCCGTCTGAAGGTTTCCTATTAATTGTCATACCTAATACCTTTGCTTGGATGTTTCACTTTAAACTCTCTAAATCTGTAATCTGTATTAACTCACTAGGTCATATCTAGATGCCTAGATCATTATCTTAACCTTAGAACTAATTTATCTTCAAGATAAACCTTTTAGAGCCTTCTGTATCCATTTTTATAACTGACCTAAATATCACTATAGCAGAACTAATACTTGTAGTTAGGGCTAATTATTAAACCACTATGTCCTTGTAGGGTTCACTTAAACTCCAACATCTACTCCACAGCATAACTCCAGTACTTTAGTATACTACTGTCTTTTTACCTGCCTTTTTATTAAACTTCCAATTCAGATAGCCTGTGTAAAACTACAACCAGTTCATCAGTATATCAGATTGGCCTGATATTCTTTTCCTCTGATTTGTTCTAACAGCCTGATTAGTGGTACTCTTGAGACTTCCAACCCAGAGGTTTTTGCCTATCTGGCTACTACAACTGGGTACTATGATCTTGGTATCTGTTTCTCTGAGCTAGCCTTTACAGTAGAATCATCAAAGATCCAACTACTTCTCTATTCAGATCTTTCCAAATAGACTTCTTGTTACCTAATTTCAACAGATTTATATGGCTACAAGGACTTATCTAGTGTTTGCATCACCTGATTTGTCAGTTTGCATTCCTCTGTGTAATGCCATACTTATACAGATGCTTCATGACCTGTCAGTCATGCTAGTGCAATTACCATTACAGATATCCTAACCTAATTGTTAGTAACAGTTGCCATAATATGAATATTATATAGGTGATTATCTAAATTTTTACCATCAATGGGATTTGAACACCCAACCTATTACTTGGAGGGTTGACAATCTGACCACTTCACAATTTAAGAAGTTTATCTATTTATTATTATATAAGTTTCATATTAAATATTATATCTGTAAGCCAACTATAGGTCTGACTTATTTAAAACCTCTATATAGTATATGCAATTTATTTATATTACAAAAAGATCTTTAAAGCATAGTTTTTGATCTTTATTAGTATTCTTAGAACTATTTTATTCTTAATAAGAAACTTATTAAAGTCTTTTATATTTTATATACAACTAATCTAGTTTTATTATTCTTATAAAGTTCACTAAAATCATAGTACTTCTCTTTCTAATATCTTTTTTATTATCTCTTACTAATTGTTATTTAAAACTAATAGATTTTGATCAAACTACCAATTTAGATAATTTAGTATAATATATTTATATATTTTTTTCTTTTAATGAATTTAGTAATCTGATTGATTATATGTTTCTCTACATATTTTATGTTCAGTTTATTTAATCTATTTTTTTGAAAGTGATTTATATGCTTCAACTAATCTAATAGTACTATCAAAAGTTTATATTATATTTTTACTTAGAAATTTTTAAATATATTTTTAATTATTCTAATTCTTTAATCTTTTATACCTAATAGTCTTATTATAGATTTGCACCAAGTTCTTATACATATTTTTTTATATACATATAATGTTACACTTCATATAGATGCCCAAGTTTCAAATTACTAGATTTGATATATATAAATTACACTATATAAAATCAACTGATCAACAAAAAATAATTATTATATCATTGATATGATTTTTAAATTGTGTTATAAGTAAAATTTGAATATTAGACTTGCTACTTAGAAAATAACAACCCAACCACTCCATTAGAATCACCATCCTTCTGTTAATTTAATATCTTATTAACTAAAACTTTATATAAATTTTTAAAAAATTTTACAATAATGTTATTTTTTGTATTTGTCTAATTTGTTAATTTGATTTAGATTATTAAACCATTTAACCAATTTAACCAAATAAGTTTAATTAAAAATCTTTTGACTAATGACTAACAAATTTATAATTGGCTACTAATTTGGTAATGTATATATCTTTGTTAAATGACAATAACAATATAAAATTTGAGATTAGATCACGTGTTGCTGCGTCTGTAGCATTTTCCATATTTATTTGTTATTTTTGCTAAAAACACGTGAAATTTGACCAGCGTTAGGATTAGGTTTAGGGATGAAATAATAATCATCGTATAGTAAAATTTGGCCAGGAATTTTTTTTATTAGAAACGTAAAAGACTGAAAATTTGAGTTACGGTGACACTCCGAAAAAACCTTCGCTTTCACGTTACATAAAAATTGCACCTGATCTTGCGATCTACATAAAAAATTTTCCATTTCTGGGTTTGTATCACTTGCAGAAATAAGTGCACGCTGATGAGTACTATACAGGAAAAACTTGTAAGTAATTAGTGTTGATCAAATATTACACAATCTTATTTTATATTTAATTCATTTAACTGCGGTTACTTCAGACAAAGACGGGCGTCTTTATAATATTTATCATATATGAAAAAGTTAAAGGTTCTTTAGTCATCAAATCCATTGTTTCAATACCCCATTTAATTCATGCTAGTTTTCTTTTTGACTTATATTTTGTAATAAAGTGGCTTATATATGTTGTAGGTGGAATTTCCTAGTTAAATTATGGTTAGGGTATAGGTGTTTATATGATAAATCAACCCCGAAATGCTCGGAACCACTTAAATTACGTTTCCACTTACAAACATATATATCCCCAATTTTAAATTTGGTTACCAAATTCCCAATCAATATTAAACCCCGAAAAAGTTTTTTGAACCCCTGATCTTAATTGATAACGCGTCTAACCCATCTTCCCAACCTTTGACGTATCTTATTAGAAATAGAAATTTATTATAATGACGCACCTTCACTCGGGGATAGTAGTTATTTCAGCCAAAAATCATTGTTTGCGTTAGTGGTCAAAATTTTCAAATTTTTTGGGGTAGTTCATTAAATTTGCCGCAATGATATTATTGGATCATATAATATCCGATGCAAAAAGCTTATATCATTCGTCATTTTGTATTCAACCTAAATCCGTTCCTGGTTAGTTTTGATATTAAATGCGCATATATTGTATTTTTATTATCATTAATTTAAACAAATTTGACTTTTAATTTTGAAACTATTGATCGAAAATGGGATACATCTTTTGGTTTTGAACCCAATTTAAGTAGAAGTCCCAATTCCCAAACCCAAACTATGTGATAATATCATAATTCAAAAAAATGGTTTAGGTCTCAACCCTACTAACAACGATCAACTCGCTCATAAAGAATATACCAAAAAAAAAAAAAAAAAGGATACAGGAAATATAAAAAAAAAAATAAAATAAGATAATAAAATAAAGTAAAATGTTCAAGTAAAATATTGCCGACACAACTCTAAATGAAGGAAAAAAATATTATTATTGGAACAATATGCACTTGTTCATTAAAACATATTCGTTAGCGATAGATTAAATGAAAATAAATCAAGAAGGGTTCAAATTCATCATATGTCTCACCTATCGAAGATGCCGGCGTATGTATTGAAAATTGTATACATATATGGATATTATATTTATGATTTTGTATCTCCTCCTTCAGTTCCACTATCATTCTCACCGCCATCAACAGTCAACTGTGTTTTAACCAATTCGCTCAATTCCTCAGTGGGATCACTAGTAACTATCAGAGGAACGTCATTAGTTAAGGTCTCGGGCGGATTCGGTGCTGATGTATCAGCTGCCACTATTTGACCTTCCATCCCATGGTGTAAAATTGGTCCCGAATAAAGCGGTTGATAATACCGAGGAACATATTGGGGGCCAAATGGAGGAGAAATTGAGCCAGCAGGATAAGCTCTGAGATAGTTTTAAAAAAATTTAATTATATAATTAAACCATAGGTCATAAGTGGAACTGGTTTCAATGAACGAACACAGTGTTAACGCATACCCTGGAGGTTGAACTCCTTCAGAATAATATTGAAGATAAGCCCCATGACCTGGTGGAGAGCCAGGTGTTGCCATACCCAACATGTGCTCCGGAGTAACAGGAACTTGTGGAATTATCCTCTGAGACGGAAATTATTAATAAATACTTTATTAATACGGGTTGTTCAATAATTACTTTTAAAATACTGTTCACATTCTAAGACACGTTCATTTATAAATAAAATAATTGTATGAAATACTCACGCCTCCCAAAGATGGGAATTCTCTAGTTCTCCACATACGCCTCTTAGCTGTCTGTCCTTTTAATTTCTTCTGTGCCAAAGAATCAGCAAATCGAACTTGCAGAGGTAAATTGGCTCCTGGAAGTTGATAGCCATTAAACTTTTGAATTATGGCCAAAGCAGAATCACGGTCTTCCATTCTAAATATAACAAAGACCATTATAATATTATTAGTAAGGAAAATGGTTGTGATTAAAAGGTATTTGGGAATATAGTATACATTTATTTTATTATGCCATAAACCATCTTTAATTTGTATGTAAGAACTTTTTCTAACAATATTGAACAAGTCTTTTAAAATACCATTTTACAATACGATGAAGGATAATACTTAGCGTGCTGTCTGTTTAAATATCGTAACGCTCTTTAAAGTATTCCAGGTACCATACAGGACAGACTAAAACTTGTGTGGCATAATTCAGCAGGTTCTGCAGTCAAAAAATGCAAATAAATAAAATAAAATAAAATACCTAGCAAATCCAACTCCACGGCTTGTTCCGCTAGCATCTCTGAGAATTCTGTTAGATACAACTTTATAAGGCTTGAAAATTTCTTCCAATTGCTACAAAAAGTTAAAGAATTTCAGAAGTCTATATTTATTAAAAAACAAATAAGGAAAGTTAGTAGAAAAGGACAATTTTTTTTTCTAAATAAAAGTTTCTAGACTTTATAAATTGAAATATCTCTAGCTATAAACCAAATTTCTAAAAGTTTTAATTCTGTATAATTAGAATTAAAATTAATTTTTATCACATTTGGTTTGATAGTTGCTGAGATATTTTAATTTAAAAATTAAAAATAATGCCCCTTTTCTACTGACTCCCTTCCCGAACATGTTTCAAGCTCACTTGTTCATTCATATCCAAAGGTAAATTGGACAAATATATGTTTGTAGAAGCTAGATCCTGAAGGTTCTTCAATCTAGTGCTGAATGATTCCTATTAAGTTTTAAGATTTCCAATAATATATGGACAATTATTTTATGAAACAAATACAGTAATGCACACTAAACATGAATTTTAATGTAAAGAATCACAAACATGCGTGTTACACTCACATAACCAACCTTGGCGAAGGAAACTTGCAATCCCAATCGCGTCAATTGTTCAATGGCATGTTTGGCTTGATCTTCAGATTCATACATAACAAAACCGTAGCCTTTACAGTCGCCTTGCTTTTGATCTATAATAGCCTTAGATGAAGTAATAGCACCGTATCTTTTTAATGGTAGGTTTTTAAAAGAATAAATATTAAAAAACTATTATAATCCATAGATTTCTATCTATGAGTTGATATCTTATAAACATCCAACGTGATGATTAGTAATTTCATAAATAAATTTGTTCTGTCAAATAAAAACTATTTTTACAATATCACTTTTTTTGTACACATTCCATATATTTGTCATGAATTATGTCCTCGGTTTAGTTCATAACTAAAATACATTTTTCTGATTCCAAAGAATAAAGCACTCACATTGAACACATCTTGTGCAGAGATTCGTCAGTTGTAGTGGGTGGTAAACCACGAATATAAATATTCGTGGTTTTTGTCGGATTATTAAAATTGGGAAGATTAGGTATCTGATGGGAACCCGAATTTCTTCTGTCATAATTATAGTGAGGGGGGCGGTTGACACTACCACGGCCATTGCCATTTAAGGGGCCGGCTTTAGGTGAAGGGACACCAGGACCAGGTAAATATTGTGGGGGTGGAGAATTAGGAGCAGATGAGGATGATTGTGAGAGGGTAGGCGAGAGCGTATGAAGTACACCATAAGGAGTCTGTGGTGAATATAAATACGACGGATGCATGGGAGGTGAATGGATAATCCCAGTCGGGCCGACTTGAGGTGATGTGGGATAATAAGCAATCGGTGGGCTAGTAGCAGTAAAGTAAGGACTTAAAGGTTGTGGTGGAAGAGACGGTGATGTCTGCCCTTGAAGAGGCGGTGTTCCCGGAAACCCAGTCCCGTAGTCTGCGGGATAATATTGAGAATATGACGGATGCATCCCATAATGGCCATAGGCCGAGAAAACATTTGGATCGCTAGGATCATATCCTGCAGCCATGGCAGCATGATATTCTCCAGCAGCGATAGTTTGTGGGTCAGCATAACCATTGGCATAATAAAAGTTTGGTGTTGGAGACACAGGTAAAGACGACACAGCGTTGGAACTTGTGTTAGAAGTATATTCTGTAGTTCCAGCAGACTTTCCATGATCTTTTTTATCAACATGATTATCTTTTATTTCGTTCCCAGTTGAAGTTGTGCTAGTGCTGATGTCATTTTGCTTACTTGTCGCCTCCGTGCTAGCGGGCGCGGAAGTATCCTTCTGTGTGCTCATTATTATTTTAAATGTCCTTCTTCAACAAATCAGATAAGCTCGTTTCGATAATCTAGTTGTAATAGTCCTAAAATTTATTTTAAAATTTGTAATAATACCAGCAAGTTGGCAATATCTGTATCTTCGTTTATTATTATTATTATTATTTGAATTTTGCCAAAGTTCAGCTAAAATCGATCAGAATTTCAAAGCTAGATCTTCGATATGTAACAAGTATTGAGCCACTTGACCTCCGTCTCAGGTATACTGCAGGGTCGTTAAAACTCTAGTTAAATCTGCGAGTTTCCTTGGACAGTGGGGTGGTGGCAACGTTGGGTCGTCCACTGAAAAGAAGAGTGGGGGCGAACTGGTGGTGTGTGGGGACGTTGATTCGGAGCCCACCACTGTGAAAAAAAAGGGTTGTGGAAGGCGAAGTAACAACTAATAACAACTAATGTTTTTTTTGGTCGTGATAGTAAACTGTGACTAGTCTGACTGTGGCGTGCATAAGAAATACACATCCCAATGTTGGTTCTGCCAATCAAAATTGAATTTACTGATGGCATTAAGAAAACTAGTAAGTTTCACGACCCTTTTTTTATTTACATCTTAGGATTTATCTTATACAAGGGTAAAACTGTCTGGTTAAAGCGAAATTTTACTTTACCATATTTGCACGAAATAAAACCCGGGGCTATTTCGAGTCGATGTTTGCATTTAGTTAATTTAATTCTTATTCTCAAATAACGATAATGCCCCGAACGTCATTTTGCGCAAATGAACTTCGCTATATGTTTTATAAAAAATTTTACCTCAACTTTTAAGTTAAAATTAAACATTAGAGTTAGGGTTTAAAGTAAGTTTTTTAGAGTGCTGAACATTTTTATTTAATACTGAATATTGATTACCAAAGCTGTTTTTAGATAGCGCCGATAAATTTCACTTTTAGTAAGTATTAAAGTAAGACTTGGCTTCAGTTTTTTTTATTGATTACTTAATATCGAAGTATTTTTATATTTGTGATAAACTATCTGGCCAAGTTTTGAAAGTCAAACCCACCAGTTGAGGGTAGAGGTCAGTCATTAATTCGACACATTAATGTCTCAAGAACCACAATTATAATTTAAATAACTTCTTGAATTATTTAATAGATTATGCTATCTTTTATTAAATAATTTAAATTATAATTGTAGTTCTTGAGATATTAATGTTAAATTAATGATTAACCTTTTACTTTAGTAGGTTTGATTTTTAAAAATTTAGATATAATATAATACGTATTATACGTATAAATAAAAAAAGGATATTTTATATACAGTATCATTAAAGTAAATATAGATTTCTTCTTATATAGTGTACTTTTTACTAGGTTGTAATTTTTTTTATTTAACTATCCTTTTTAGAATTAGAAATTTTTATTTAGTACTAGAACATGAAGGAGTACAACTAGTCATATATATACTTTCGGTGTTTTAATTTAAGTAGTCCGTTTACAACTTTTTATATTATAAATTTTATATTAAATGATATATTTGCAACTCAGTTATAGGTATTGCTTATTTAAACCTTCTGTAACATAGTTTTTTTTGTGTTACTATAATATTTTTTTAATATATATATGTTAGTTAAGTTAAAATATTAATTCATATTTTTAAAACAGTATTAATGCATTTTTAAAATATTGTTACTAAAGTTTTTTTTATTATTTTACTTATAACTAACTTGTTTATATTATAACTAATAGTAGTGTTTTTAGGTTTAGTTTAATTCAATTTAAGTTCAATTTAAGCTTAATTAAATCTGAACTAAACCTTAAATTTATAAACCTAAACTAAACTTAATTTTTAGTTTAGTTCAAGATTAGTTTAAGTTTATTTTATTTTTTTTTAAGATAACCTCTTTGGTTTTTAATTTTTATTAATGTTTTTTTTGAAATATTGTTATAGGTGAAAGCCTTCTTAATTTTCACACTATAACGACGACACGGCACAGGGAATCCCTTACGGGTATA